ACTCCCCTCGCATCTTGCAGCGCCTATATATTTAAATTAGCAAAGAAATATCCAGAATGTTCAAGTAAACGCGCGCAAGGTACCGAGCGTTCGAGTTTCGACTAGGCGCTGTCGGTTGAGTAATTTGTGATGTCATTTTCTCAATGCTCCCCTCGCTCTCGTTTCTGACACTAGATGGCGCTAGTTGACTTATTCATGCAACAGTAAGCTGCATTGGGAATGATCCGACCATATAGCTCAAAGAACCGACGGCCGATGGGAAGAAAGGTTGCTGAGTAACAACCTCGTACAGGTAAGCCTGGTGTAGGACGTCCCTCCTCTAGACGGAGTAAATACCTGGTAAAATATGCAAAAAGTAGATGGATGCAGGTAACTCAGGACCTTGCTTTGTGGCATTACTTGGAGTAGGCCCAATAATATAGGGACAATGCTTGACCTGCCTGCGCAATATGTTTAGAATAGAATATAATTAATTATTCTTATTATAGCTTATATGAGTACTTATTGAAAATCAATTAAACTTTACCACTGATGCGGAAAAAACCTGTGTCCTAAGAAGTACAAGCAAGAAATCCAGCATGTTTAAAAAAATATTTTATGTATTATTTTATTCAGTTATTAAGAAAACATTTCGAAACAGCATGGTAGCAATCACTTCATTACCAAGGGTTGTTATCAATTATGTACCTTTAGTAGTGTAGTAGTTAGATTGCCTCGTTGGTCTAGTGGTTGTGTGCTACTGCTGATCATGAGGTCCTGGGTTCGAATCGTGGGTCGGGCCAAAAAATCAATTATTGAGTTATTCCGTCAAGAAGTTCTTAGTAGCAGTCCGAAGTCAGCAAGTTGATGGTGTCTCACGCCCGTGCCTCGGAAAGCACGTAAAGCCGTTGGTCCTGCGCCTGATATCTCTCCGGTCGTGTCGGTTTACCATCCCATCGGACTATAAGAGTGAGGGAAAAGAGAGTGCACCTGTGCTTGCACATACTCTTGGGCACTATAATCTTGTCCTGCGAAGATGGCTTGTCTCCGGTGAGGCTGGCTGTCGTGACCGAAATTCAGTCTGGAGGAGGAGGACATGCAGGACATCACTCTTTAGCAGAATTTATTGAATAAAGGTAACAAACGAGCACGCAGTACACCCGATAGTAAGTGCTGTGGCCCATAGACATCTACATTTATCCTCGATTAAGAATCAAAACGCAGATGCGTTGTCACCCCTGAGGACTAAGATGGAATGCTTCGTTTCCAGTAAAAAAGAGTCTCCGGATCTCTACACTCACCGTACGAAACACAGCAATATTAAGCTGGTATTGAGAGCGTGGTCCTTCCCCGGTCGAGCCGACCCATTGTAGCTCTATCACGTAAAGAACTGGTACAAATTATAACTCTTAATATACAATACAAATATTCTGATGATATCCCGGACGTCAGTGAAATGAGAATGAGCGAAATTAGAATGACTCTCCAGCACCATAAAAATGGCAAGGCCCCAGACGAGGATGGAATTACAGCGGAGCTTCTGAAATCGGGTGCTATTCCGAGAATGACAATGAACACCAGCATGTAACGTGAACTGATAACGTTACAGCCTATCAAAAGTCTACTTTTGAACATTGGCCTTTCCCACAGATTGCCTTGTAATACTTGTTGTAGTTCCCATGCTGACAAGCGGGTTGACGACCGTAGTTTCATATTTTAGTTGCTGCTGCGCTGCTGCCCATCTCCTGGTTTGTTTTCTTTTGTCGCCTTTTACGAAACCCATTGTAGACATTTGGTAGTGGATATACTTACACCGCCTTTACACAGTTTTTCGTTTATTTACTTAGTAAAACAGCTAGGATAAATATCTAAAATATGATGATTTCTTGTATTTGGTAAATATCGGTTTGTATGTGTCTTTTTTCTATACACAGTGTGACCTATGGTGTTGTTAGGATTTCTGATGACTAACACATCTAGGAAAGACTTTAAGAGTTAATTTTTGCATAGATCGGATCATAACCAATAATCAAAAAAGCTGAAGGTACTCCGGACTTAACAGTGACATCGGGACGTCAGTCACCTCAGTCCCCCGTGACTGGTGCTGGAAAGCACTCGAAACGCCGGGAATTAAAAATAAAAATAATTAAAATTAAACGCGATATAATCCGTAAAAGTAGTTTTAATCAATATCTAAAATATGTTTCTTTTGTAAAACCACTATCATTTTTAAAAACATTTCCTTTGACTGGATAAGCGACTGTGAATAATGTTCCGAAGGTTTCTCTTAGTTTTTTAAAATTAATATCCATCATCAATATACAGAAAGGAATAGGATAACATGTCTGGAGTTGAATTATTTTCTATGAAAAAATTCTGTATTCTATAAAAAAGCCCCCACAAGTAGCAAATATAATATATAATCGCTTCTAACGACACCCACGATGTGAAATGGGTGATAGAGTACATTAGGGTAAGATATATAATGTTTCTTTACGCGACTCTGAATGATGAAAATAGACATTTATTTAGCAGAAAGGTTGAAATACTCAGCGATGTTTTTAATAATGTCAATTTGTGTAGAAATCAATTTACTCCTTACTAGTATTTTGTTCCAAGTATTCATATTGCGAAATGTATTAAGTTCATAATATTCTCGACTAGACGATGCTCTTTAATAATCTAAAGTGAATAACATTATAAATAAATGAAATTTACTTGGAAATTAATTACAAAATTTCTCTCCTCTCTTAAATATTTTGTGATACAAACAAAAAAAACTGTAAATCGTTGTTTTTACAGAAAACCCAAAAAAAAACATGTGGCCAGCAAACTGGCCATTAAACGTTCTGCATCACTAACCATCATTGTAAAATTACTGGTCAGTAAACGAGACACTGACGAAATTTATATTTCTTTTGAAGGAATATAAAAACAAGACTTCAGTTATGAATTTTTTAATCAGCTTTTAATAATAGAACTTATTATACTTAATATGAACAATCAGTCACAAATTACAAATAGAATTAACATAAGATTTTTATTCAGCATAACTTTTTTCTTTTCACAAACAAACATAGTTGCAGGTAGTATCAATTGAATGATCACCTACTTTTTTAATTTGGCCTTCAGTATGGAATCGTACTGGAATGCATTCAGACACTTATCTTTGGCTTAGACGTGATATTGCAGTATTCACATCTACCCACATTTTTAGTAGAAAAATTTTATAAGCTTATGATCGGATCCTTCATTATCTCAAAAAATAAGCAAAGGTTGTTTCGTATCGCCTGTGAGTTTCTATTTATTTTATCATCTTCAGTTTGTGGTATTATATTATATTATTCTAAAGAAAACACAGTATATAAGAAATGATAATAGAACAATTTACAATCTAATATTAATTGGCCAACACATACATACGAAGAATAATTCCTTAGAAGTCGCTAGATTTGATTACTAGTGAGAAAGATGCTTTTTTTTTTTAGGAGTGTAATTGGTCGGAAAACTTCGTCCTTTTCATTCAATTTGGAGAACTATTGTCGGGGACAGACAAACTTTTTTATGCGACATTGAGCCTATTGAAATTTTCAATAGTAATTTTTGTAGTATTTTTTATTATAAAAAGGGGCAAACTTCTTTTGTTGCGTTATTTAGCTTGTCATAGTCATCGTCATGCGCCAAACAACATTTTCTTCTTATTTTTACATTAAGCCATATAATGTATTTCTTTTAAGAAAATTAAGTTTTTTTTAACCTTATAAAATTCCAAAGGGATACAACGTGATTTTGAGACCGTTTATATCCTGGACATGTTAAAGTAGATCCAGACTGTAAAAAATTACATTTTCCAGTAACACTTTATTTTTAAAAGGTCTAATATAGGGGTGCATTTCGAATGTCATGAAAATGCCAATAAAATTGTGACTCTATATCGGAAAAACGAATTAAAACATTTGGGTTGTTTCCTTTTATTTCTTCTTCTTCACCGTCATCATCCCGTGAACGCTCACTTGCTTTACATGAGGTTCCTATACTCCATTTTAGAAAACACAGCAGCGCATTACGCTACTCTTTATACTATACTCTTTATACTCTCCATATAAACTATTTACAGCGACAGATGAAAATATAACAGAGGTAATAGTATCTCCCTAATACCAACTCAAAATTATGGAGCTGCGTTTGCCAACACGCTTGTCAATCGTGTCAACTATTGAAAATGATGATGGTGTGTATGAATACAGTACAACATAATATTTTGAGATTCACATGTATGAAGATAAACAGAATAATAATAATGTTCTCCAGATTGGTTATCGCTCACGGTGATCAGTTCCAACGGAGACTAGGGATTATAAATCACGATCACATGCTTAAACACAGGTGCACTCTCTATCTCCTCTCTTCTCTCAAAGTACGATCAGGCGCAGAACCCATGAGTTTACATGCTTTCTGAGGCACGGAGCTGAAACACCGACAACTTTTTGACGCCAGGCATTTTGAGAATTAAATATCAGAAAAACCCAAAAACTCTTTTTAGACCAGATGATTTCAAATATTTACACGACATGAAATAAAAAAATTTGTGATTTTGTCGCTCTTAATTTATCTTATTTAATTTTTTTAATAAATCGCGATGAAATCATTAAAATTAGTTTTATTCAATGATTTTAGACTGAAATGCGATTCAAACATACAAAATCAGCAGTCGCGCTTAAGAACACTGGACCAAAGCGCAGTCAAAGAGAAATAACAATAATAGGATGATGGAATTTGATAGAACGCGCAAAGGGCCGCTGCCTGGGGGTCGCCGGGGCGCGTCTGGAGCTGGCGCTGGACGTAACAGCATGCGAACCACCAGCCGAGCGCGAGGTGCTGCTCGACCACCCAGTAGCCCCTCGCATCCATCATCTCCACCAGCATGCTTGGTGACGGCAAGGTCTTCGCGGGCTACGCATTACGGGCGTATTATAGGGCAATAGGGGGAAGAAATTGGAGGTTTTGCATATCGGGCAAGGATGCATCGACTTTTTGCTGAGCTGGAGCTATCTGTAACCGTCACCGAGCAAAACCCGGCAGACCGAGTTTGGTATATCTTGCGCTCAAATATATTTGATGACGCCGCACTCGAACGGCTACGACGTGAGGCTGTTCCCTCATCAAATGAAAATGCTACAGCTGAGGATGCGGTGCCACAAGTTGCAGAACAACCCGCATACGTGGATACCGCCGAAACCAGTGGTGGCTGATTCAAATGATGATGGAACATTCGCCTAGGAACTAGAAATAGAGCAAATGAGGAGTACATTGGAAGAGGCGATTACGGAAACGTGCAGTACGCCTCTCGAAAATCGACCGCGACTTACCTGCATAGCTCTAAGCAAGCGGAATCGGGCTGTCGTGAGGGCTCTGAACCCAATGCTGGTGACCTATTTGGAAGCCAGTCGGGACCTTTGCGATGCGGGCTCAATTATTTTTGGCGCCGAGCTGGTAGTCTGCCGTATCATAGGCGCCAAGGTATCCACGGCCGGACGTGCTGTTGGCCACCAGAATCGTCTCTTCCAGAGTGATTAGAAGAGGCTTTATGAATCATTGGAGCAACAACGACCGACCAATGGCAAGTGGAACGGGCCCAGCACCGAATCAGGCCGACACTGTAACATTCTGGCGCGGCCTGTGGTCAGAGCCCGTAAACCACAGCGAGGGCTCTTGGACGGAAGTTGTGGCGAGTAAGTGTGCGAGTATAACGCCCATAGACCCTGTCATTATAACGCCGGATGACGTAGCTGAGGCGGTCCGTAGGGCCCCGAACTGGAAAACTCCGGGACTTGACGGGCTGCATCACTACTGGCTAAAGGGGTTTGTGGTGTGTCACACTGTGCTCGCCCGACAGTTCCAAGAGGCTCTCAACCAGAAGTCGCTCCCGAGACTCTTCACTACTTTGATCACTCATTTGGTTTCTAAAGACCGGGATACCACAGACCCAAGCAAATACCACCCCATCACATATCTACCGACCATATACAAGACACTAACATCCATTTTGAGCGCGAGAATCACTCGTCACCTGGACTCAAATCAGGTGATGTCGCGCACTCAAAATGGATGTTGGGGCGGTGGTCGTGGAACCAAGGAACCATTTCCCATTGACGCAGTCATTGGCAAAGTGGTGAAACGCAACTGTCCTGTGTTTCTCCGCCGCCTGGATAGACTACAGAAAGGCATTCGACTCGGTGCCCCATACATGGGTAAAGAGAGTCCTCGAGCTGTACATTATAGACAGTACAGTTAGAAACTTCCTCGAGCAGTGTATGGGGCAGTGGAGAACGATCCTTTGTCATCTGGGCAAGCGGATGATGGCTGCGGAAAGCCACATAAGGATAAGAAGGGGTATCTTCCAGGGCGATTGTCTGATTCCAATCTGGTTCTTCCTCTCTTTGAACCATCTCGTTACTTTACTGGAAGGCTCCGGGAGGAGTTTTCAGCTTCGGAAAGGAGGTACAAAAGTGACCCACCTTTTTTATATGGATGACCTCAAGTTATTCGCCTCCAGTCGCTCCCATCTTGCGGAAATGCTAAACATCACTTGTGAATTTAGCAATTCTATTGGAATGGAGTTGGGGACGGATAAGTGTGTGGTCCTCCATGTTGAAAGGGGAAAGGTTGCTAACTCTGAGTGCATAGACTTATCTATGCCCATCAGTTTAAGGACCCTTTCCGAGGCTGAAACATACTGATACCTGGGTGTGTCACAAAACATCGGTATCGATGAGGCTGGTATGACGGATGAGTTGGTCGCAAACTGACTGTTTCAGTCAGTTTGTGGCATGTTTTATGATACGCTTGACCAAAGTGCTTAACAGCCTTTTGTCTGGTGTGAATAAGACACACGCATATAACGGTTTCGTCATGCCTGTCCTCATGTATACCTTTGGCATACTCAGGTGGGCTCAGACTGAACTTAACGCCCTGGATAGAAAAGTCCACACTACTATGACGTTCCATAGGATGCATCATCCGAGATCGTCGGTAATGAGGCCGTCTTCTACGAAAGCATGGTGGGCGTGGCTTTTTGAGCGCGGTCACCATGCATAATCGCGAAGTGTGCAGCCTCCGTAATTACTTCCTGGTGAGATCGGATGATCCATTCTATAAGGACGTCATTTTTTGTGAGCAAAGCAATGGCAAGACCCGGCAGTGCAGAGCATTTCCGACTGGGAGACCGTATGGAAGGAGAAGGAGCTCAACGGGAGGTTCTACAAGGCTTTACATGAGCCTTTCGTAGAAAAAGTAGCCTCCCTCCGCTGGCTACGCTTTGGTGATCTCTTCGGGGGAAACTGAGGGTTTTGTCTGTGCAATACAGGATCAGGTTATTAAGACCAACAACTATCGAAGATACATCCTAAAGGATGGCACCATCGACATTTGTCGAGGTTGTCGCCATCCCGGTGAGTCACTTAGGCATGTCATCTCCGGTTGTTCGGCGCTTTTTAATTCTGAGTACTTGCACAGGCACAACCTAGTAGCCAGAATTCTTCACCAGGAGCTCGCTCTGAAATACGGTTTCGTGGACCGGAAATTGCCGTATTACAAGTACTTGCCGTGCTCGAAAATGATCGCGCCAGGCTCTACTGGGACCGGGCCATCATCACAGGCAGGACTATTCTTGCGAGTAAGCCTGATATTGTGCTGATGGATCGGACACAGTCAAGGATATTTTTGGTCGCTATTACTATTCCGCATGACGAGAACCTCGTGAAAGCCGAAACAAATAAGCGAAGAAAATATCTGGACCTGGCTCACGAGGTGACTGACATGTGGGGTGGTCTGCCGACTGAAGTTATTCATGTAGTCGTTTCTGCAAACGGGCTAATCCCAGTCAGCCTCTCGGGTCATCTGAGGAGGCTGGGACTCCGTTACGGAGCTCCAGGCTCAAATACAGAAGGTGGTGCTCCTCGATACCGCCCGCATCGTCCGCCGGTTTCTCTCCCTTTCCCCCTAACCCTCGGCCGTTTGGTCTCCCCTGCCAAGGGCCTCCATCTGGTTGGGCTTTTATTTATTTATGTATTATTTATTTATTTGTGCTGGTATATTAAATATATATTTATGTATATTTATCATTTCCTTTCATATATTTATTCAGCCAAACCAGATGAGAATACACTACTAATACCACAATAATAATAAAGCCTCTTTATTCCTTAATAGAAAATAATTACAGTAATAATTATTTATGTACCTTAGAAAATAAAATAAAATATATATTTCAATTAAGGACCCCTCTTTGGGTAAAGGCGTCCTCCATCTTTTCCCACTCTTTTCGGTTCTATGCTACTGTTAAACATTTTTTTCCTGCTGTCTTTTCAATCTCATCCACCCATCTTTCTTTCGGTCTTCCTTGCTTGCGTTTGCCTGTTGGTCCTATCCACATGGTTGCTCGTTTAGTCCATTTGGTATGTGTAGATCGTGCTACATGACATAGAGAAATAGTACAAAGAAATAAGAAACAGTACTAAAGTTGAAATTAACGCTGAATCCGACTCCGACAACTTATCTTGCATTTATGCATAAGCCTTTCATACATAGAGAACTTATTATTACTTCATGCAAATACTATCCACGTTAAGGTTGACTAGACGTTATGAGGGCTTAATCTAACTTGAATTATAACCATTATACACATTTTAATATGTACGAAGAGAATTTTTTTTTATAAAACTTAAGTTTAACCGAAGACCCCCTTTATTGGAAACGAAACATCCATCCATCTTAGTCCTTACCGGTGACAAAACATCTACTTTTTTGATTCATAATTGAGGATAGATGTCTGTGGGCTACTGCATCCACTTACCATCAAATAGGTTGTGTGCTCATTTATTACCCTTGTTTATAAAGAAGTGATAAACGAACGTCCAGCCCACTTGTAGTAATGTCCTCAAAAACAAATTTTGCTCCGGCGGCCAGTTTCAACGGATGAGAGCCATCTGCATGGAACAGGATTATAGTGCACAAGTGTATGCGGAAACATGTGCAATTTTTATGCCCTCACTTTTTTAGTCCGACGGGACATTAAACCGACTCAAACGGAGAGAGATCAGGCTCCGTATGGTTTTATGTACTTTCAGAGGCACAGCGGTGAAAAACCGCCAACGTCCAGACTCTGGGTTGCTATTGAGAATTTCTTGACAGAAGAACCTAATCACTGAATTTGGCCCAACCCGGGATTCGAACTCGTGATCTCCTGATATGTAACAGCGTTTACAACCACTAGACCAACGAGGCAGTCAGCCACCTCATGGTAAAAAACAAATAAAAGGTAAGTAACAGCCTATAGATGTCTCCCCTCTCATTTCTGAAAGTGCTAATGAGTAATTAGTAATCGTTAATGAACTTGCCATTTCCTCGAAATGTTATATCCCTCGAACATATAGGTTCTTTCGTGATTTTTCCTTCATAGTCAAGCAGGTGTTAAATTTGCAATTGGAATTGAAGTGTTTTTTTTTAAAACGTCACATCCTCTGTATGATTTTATTCTGTATCGTGTAGACAGTTTACATACATAAATTTCACAAGGACAAACGTCCAGACTTGAAACAATTGTTATTTGTAGGCCATACTTGATTCATGCGGGATTCGAACCCACGGCCTCCAGCGCCGTGACTCATTACTAAAGCACTTCGCCACTGAGCCGTCAAGCTATTTCACTAGTGCCAGCGGGGATTAAATCTGTTTTTTTTATATAACTGAAATGGCAAACCGACTGTAAGTCCAACTGGCAGTAAGTGAATTCGTTTCAGAAAAGAAAAGGGGGTTCGTTTTTATCTCTGAGAACTAAAATGAACCTTGCAACTTGTAATTATACTTCCTCCCTATGCCTTGCAGAACGGAACGCAGCAGTGTAGGCACTGATATTTGACGACAGAAACAGATACGAGTATAGTACTTACCCAGATATAATCTTAGCCAGAAAGTGTCCCACCGCTAACTTAATATGAAGTGGTTTTAACAATCTAATGCTCTCGGCTACCGCACTGCGTCCCAGCGACTGAGGCAACTCTTTTTGTGTATATTATAAGAGGCGAACGAGCATAAGGCTCACCTAATGGAAAGTGCTTACCGCCGCCGATGAAAAACTGCAATACCAAGACAATTGCAGATGCGTTACCGGTCTTTTAAAAAGGAGTAGGTTCTTTTCTTGAAGGTCCCTAAGTTGTATTGGTCCGGAAAAATCTCTAGTAGTATTTGATTCCACAAGGAAGTTGTGAGAGGAAGAAAACTTCTTTTAAATTGCTCAGTGGTAGACCGCCAGTCATCTAAATAGTATAGATGGTATCACGAGTTGTGCGGCTTGGTGCGATTGTGAAGTCGTGCGGCTGGAATTAGTCCGAACAATTCCTCAGAGCAATCTCCATGGTAAACGCAATAAATTACGCAAAAGAATGCAACATCTCTTCGCAGTCAAGTCGATTGGAAAGAGCTCTGTCGCCGACGACTCGAACAGCTCCACGCTGAATGCGATCAATTGGAAGGAGCTGACACTATGGAGCCCCAGCTCAGAGATGGGCACAGTATTCCACATGAGGATGAACTTGCGCCTTGTAAAGTTGCAGGCCGCTTACTGGCATGAAATGCTGTCCCGCTCTGTTGAGCACACCAAGCTTTTAAGAGGCCAATTTGGCATTCTCTTGCAAGTGACCATGAAACTGCATGTCACTTGATATATAGGGAATAGGGACATCGACAGGTATCCGTTCAAATGAGAGGTCAGCAGAAGGTCAAACAGGGAAGGTACATAATCTTCCACATCTGAGATCCGGGTACGCGACGTAACCAGTTGGGTCAGACCATATGCCAAAGCAAAGTCATAAACAGATCTACCCACATGATCGGTTAAACGAGAATCAAGCCATTCAGTGTAGTGGGTGTTAAAATCACCAAGCATCACGATCTCTACGGATGGGGCCTGTTGTATCAAGGAGTTTGCAGGACGTGTTTTATGAGTCGGTCTGTGTCGGCATTGCCACTATGGGACCTACAGAGGCACCGGTAGACGCGGAGACGATCGTCGCTGTCTAGGTGCAGCCATAAAATGGACAAGTCCGTCCTTGCTCAATGCTGCCGAGACATCAAAAACTGATATACTTTCTGACGTACACGCAAACTTCAGCTTCGGGCACAAACGAGTGTTCTAATATCTACCTCAGGTGGGAGAGACACGAAGTATCATCCGGAATGGACGCCTGTGTTTCGGTTAAAAAGAGCAAGGCTGGCTTCGTTTCTTCGTTTATTGTTTAGTTTGCCCAGAGATGGCTTAACCTTGAGCGGAGCTCGGCGAGGGATTTTCCGTCACCGGGAGTGCTGGTACCCTCCTGGGGTAGTGTTTTATTTAACTTCGCTACCATTTTAAAGGGGTGGGGGAATCGGGCCTCCGGCCTCCTGTTCTTTCCAGACGAAATGCAGAAGCAGAGCTTCTACTTCACGCTGGTCTTCTGTGAGGTCGCGGTACCACTCGGTTCGAGCCAGCCCATATGTGCAACAGCAAAGATTCTGTCACGTGGCTCTACCCCTTTTAAAAACTGATTATACAATATACATACATACATAATCACGTACGCCTGTCACAAGAAGAGGTAGGCGGAGACTGCGGACTACCATTTATTATGATCCTGACACACCTTTCTCACCTCCTTTAAATCCGTATACCTACGCATAAGCGGTTAAGGGTACTCTTAATTTGGCCATCTTCAATATATCGGAAATATTTGGATAAACTTTCGTCTAGGCCATACCTTTCTGACTCTGCCGTTCACTTCTGGAAATAGTGACAAAGCAAATATATTTTGCTTTGTCACTCTTTCCTTGTTCATTCTTTCTACATTATCAAACCACTGATATTTATTAAATAATTACCCTTATTATGCTTTGTACTCCAAAATTGAATTTCTTTTATTTTTATAGAATAAAGGTGACAAACGTGCACATAGTACCTACACCTGATGGTAGGTGGACAATGTGCCTAGTGCCTAAATGTGGACTAAGCTTGTAAGACGGTACGAAGTAAGCAGATGGCCGCACAGTATAAAAAGTTGCTCTTTTATATAGAAGTTTTTCGGTTTCTTTTGTTCTATTCTACACAAAACAATGCCTCAGTAATGTGTTCTTTAATTTTTGCACCTTTTTAACTTTTTTATTATTAGGTTTGACCGGTATATATATAATATATATATATATATATATATATATATATATATATATATATATATATATATATATATATATATATATATATATATATATATATATATATATATATATATCGCCTCTTTACAAGAACAACGTGACATCTCTTAAAAACGTATTTTTTTTATTATTTGATATTCAAAACCGCGATGTCGAATTTTATTATCTACAAAAACGCGGCATTTTAAAAGTGAATGTTCGAGGAGCTATTAGTGAAAGAGACGACACGACCGTGGCAAATGGCGTTATCACGTTGTCTCTTTCGGTGTGGCGCACGACTTCGACAACGCGACGCGTTAGTTTGCCCCGCACGCGGAACGAGTGAAGTGCTCCTGCTTTTCACAAAAAACGTGTCCTCACGAGTATACCACGTTTTTAGTGCAAAGGTATGTTTCTTGTTGTTATTTACTTTAACTTGAATAACGTGATAGTACTAATTTAACTCGTTTTTGTTGTAAAACTCGTGGGTATTTAGAATGAGATAATGAATATCGACACATTATTGATGAAAAAGTTACAAGTTTTCTTTGTGATATCTTTGAATGTAACCATGTTGTTGATGAATCGTTGTCAAATACTATGGGTTATTTTATTTTACATCATTATTTTTGAAAACCTTTAAGTTTGGGTTTATATTATGCTAAAATGTTACACTATATATGCTAAAATAAAGTAACTTTTACGAATTTGTTTTTCAGATGGCTTCACGATCTAGGATGTTAGTTCAATTAGCTACAGGTGTTAAAAATAATTTAAGTGTACAACTAAGTAATTCAAACTCTCAGATAGATATTTTAACACAAGAAGAGAATGAAAATGCCAAAAGTTCGACCAATACATTGCAGACATCAAAAGAAGGTATTTTATTACTTGTACTGATATTTTTTTTTGGTTATGTTCCTATAATTTCATTATTTCAATTCTCTTTGTAGACAAAGACATCGCATTAAATTCCATCCGACCTCGTAGTAATTCGACTAGTAGCAGCGGTTCCTCTAGTTCTAGCAGTTCTTCGAGTTCCAGCAGTTCTTCAAGCAGTGGCCCATCTATGTATCAAGGTAGGTTAATTTATATCCCACTAGTCTCACAAAATTCGAGGGTAATTGATAAAGTCAATACCACACCACTACATTTCAAGAAATTGATTACATTTATAAGGTTTCAGACAGCGACGACTCGGTAAAGGATCCTGATTATGAAGCCCAACCAACAAAACATGCTGAGTATTCTTCTGATACTGCCGAGGAACAAAATATCACTACCAACTATACAAATATTTCGGATGATCATAATTTGGTAACATCTAATATGGTTTCAATAAACATTGAAAACTACGAGGAACCACTTTCGTCTACAAACGAACATGCTATGGTATTCAACGATCCCGGTGTCATAGAGAACAGTGAACTTTCTGCGATTGAAAACGTAAGCAACGAAAATGCTGCAAGTTCAATAGTGTATAATTCTAGTCCAACTAAAACTGGTAAAAAAAGAAGACTAAATGAAGCAAACTGGAAAGTTAATGTAGCTAAACGACTGAGAAATAGTGGTAAGCCTTATCAATCTACCAAATCAAAAAGAAACATGCCAAGTCGTGAATTGAAACCTTCTTGTAAAGATAAATGTAAATTTAAATGTGGGTTTAAATTTACAGAAGAGCAAAAACAGACAATTTTAAATGACTATTGGAGCTTAGGTGCAATAGAAAAACCATGGACGTTTATTGCTAATAACGTAGACATAGTCATCCCAAAACAACGTTACGTTAAAGTTGATTCGGATGGAAATGTTGCAACTATTAGAAACAACAACAACGCTTTATTTTTGACTATTTCGGGTGAAAAAAACAAGAGTTTGTAAATTGTTTTTCAAAAATACTTTGGGGATTAATAATCGACCCATAGAGACTGCTTTGAAAAAGAAAAATAGCAACACTAATATTTCTTCCATGAAAGATAACCGAGGTACTCATTCAAACCATTATGCAGTGGACGAAAGCATTAAAAATGGCATCAAATTGTTTATTGAGTCTGTACCAAAGATTGAGTCACATTATATCCGGGCTAACTCAAAACGAAATTATATTGATGGTAGTAAAGCTATCACAGATCTTCATAGAGATTATGTGGAAAAATGCAAATCCCAAAACGTCCCATATGGAACCTACATTACATTTTATCGTATTTTCACACAAGATTTTAACATTTCGTTTTTCACTCCTAAAAAGGATTTATGCGATATATGCGAAGCCTATAAAAACATCACAGATGAAGAGAAAGAATCTAAGAAACAAGATTATGAATTACACCTTAAGGAAAAGAATTTGTCTCGTATTGAAAAAGAAAAAGATAAGAACAACAAAAATATTTTAGTAGCGGTCTATGATCTTCAAGCAGTGTTTCAATGCCCCAAAGGAGACGTCTCAGTTTTTTACTACAAGTCAAAACTAAATGTACATAATTTAACAATTTATAACTTACAAAATAATTTAGTTGAGAGTTATGTATGGGATGAGTCTAACGCAAATAGAGGTGTCAACGAAATAGCTACCTGTGTTTACAAATACCTGGAGAAAATTTCCGCAACGGCTGAAGACCTCGATGTAGTCTTTTATTCGGACAATTGTGCCGGACAGCAAAAAAATAAGTTTATGATCTCAATGTACACTTACGCAGTCAAAACTCTGCCAAATCTCAGATCAATTACACACAAATACCTCGTTAAAGGACATACGCAGAACGAGGGCGATTCAGCTCACTCTCAAATAGAGAGAGAAGTAAAAAGGCAACTGAGATCAGGACCAATGTATACACCTGACGCTTTTATCGGGGCTATAAAGGCGGCACGGAAAAAAAGCGAGCCATTTCATGTCAATGAAATGTGTGTCGATGATTTTTTTGATTGGAAAAGTATATGCACTCAAATGAACTTTGCGATAATGAAAGATGAAGACAATAATACTGTGAAACTGGCTGGACTCAAGATAATTAAAGTTCAAAGCTCTGATCCCGATGCCATATTTTTCAAAGAATCATACGCTGACGAATTATTCAAGAAAGCTATAGTGGTGAAAAAAAATAGAAATCGTAATAGCCAAAGCATTCATTTAGATTTGCAAAAGGCCTATCTTCAAAAACCTGGACTAGCAGAGAAAAAAAGCTGATCTCATGGATTTGGTCAATAAAAACCTCATTCCTAGATACCACAAGCCATTTTACGAATCGTTGTAATAAGACTGATTAAGTACAAAGATTTTTTGAATTGTATTTTTTAGAAATATTTAATGCTACATTTAAAATGATAGTATTTTTATTAGTATTAAGAGAATTTGTGATTCTATGTTTATGAAGGGTGATAGCAATGTTCCTATTTTGAATTTCTAAGTACTATAAAACTGTGTGCCATAATTGTGTTGGAAGACGTTAATTACTATAACTTTAAGTACAGTAAACTTTTTTATTTTTTTATTTGTATGAAAGTAATTTTTTAGTTACCTTTAATTTTAATTAAAGCGAGTACTAAGTACTATGTGATTGATTGATCTCTTATTGATTATTGTGCCTTAAACTAATTTCTTGGTGTAAGTAAGCCATTGTTTTCGTAAATTTGTATTTTTTAAATACAAGATCTTTATTTTGATACTGTGTTTTATTTAACTTATCACACAGCCTTACACCTAAATTTAACATTTTCAATGTGATATATCAATATGTTACAAGCATTTTGTGACAAATTTTCATCAAAAACGTGACATGTTTGCCTGTGTTTTTTTAAATCAGTTTTTTTACTTATTTCTTATTGCACTCAGTTTTTTTTTTGCTTATTTTCAGAAAGCACATTAATTACCGCAACAATTTAATTGTCTTCCGATAGAAAAATAATCAATATTTTAGAAGTTATCAACGCTTAAATGTTTAAAATTGCTCTCCTGTAAAGTTGTGGTTTAAAAAATATCACGTTGTTCTTGTAAAGAGGCGATATATATATATATATATATATATATATATATATATATATATATATATATATATATATATATATATATATATATATATATATATATAAAGACAATTTTAGTAATACATAAAGGTTTTCAAAATTATCAATTCAATAACAAACAAACATGCCCTTAACATTGCGGTGACGGATACAGATTATATCATTAAACATTAAAACAAAGGAATACGTTTGTATGAATAAAACACCGCACAGATATTATCTTAAATATGTATTTTAAAAGGACTTTCTTAGTTTATGCAAAGCGCGCATTGTGTTTGCTTAAATTCATAGGTTTACATAAAACTTGATTTTCATTCTTATCAAAGTGTCTTTCCGTCCGTACCGTGAGATGCACTTTGTTTATAATACATAATATTTCATCATCCTTCCTAAGGATTTTCCGCCATAGTAAGTTATTAGCTTTAGTAATTAATAGTGATCTTGAATGAAACTATTTATACGAATTTTATCGCGTTTAATTAACATTTTTTTAAATTTCCGACGTTTTGAGTGCTTTACGGCTACCTTATCCATGTTCACGGGTGGGGTCCCCCCACTAAGGTGTTCGACATCCCAATGTCATAATTAGCCCGGCTATCTTCAGTTTTTTTTTAATTAACATTTGGTCCAATCTACTCAAAACGAACTTGCGTTATCTTGAAGTCTTGCAGTGGCATGCTTGGGTTTGGATTTAATTTTGTTGATTATAGGATACTAAGCAGATGACAGACACGCAGGAGCTTGCGTACACATTAAAAATGGGTTAATTTCAAATAAAGGCAGAAGACTTATTTACTCGTATTTTCAAAAACTGCAATAATGGTACATCATTATTTTGGTATTAGAACTTAAATATAAAACTTGAATACTTGTTGAAAAATAAGCCCGTATATTTTACATACGAATTTTTTTTTACTTATTTTATCATACAACATACAGCTTTTCAAATTGCTATATTTCTTCTTTGTTAAATTTCTGTTTAAAGAATTGTTCTCTTACTGCTAAAACCACCACCAGTTACCAAATAATTTTTAATTTCATTTAAATGAATATATTCGCTGCTTTCCGTCGCCGATCTAGATATTTTACCTCCAATGTAAACGATATGAGTGTACTGCCATCTATCGAAAACCCTAAGATTTTTCTGGCTTTTCCTACAGTCGCCTTTTACCATACCCACGGGACCAAACGGGATGTTGGGATTCTCTTAAGCTGCTACGTCACGTAACAAAATATATATGTAAAATGGTTTTGGGTCACCCATTTCAATTTTAAAATTATACTAACGTAATAACAAATTAAAAAAAAAACTTTTTTCTTACCTTTACCTACATATAAATAAAATTTAAATGTCTGTCTGTAATATTGAAATAACTGATCGGGGCATTTGCATGCTATATGGACATGAATTCGTATTTAAACATTTTATCTATCCGTCTGTGCGTCTCTCGAGGTTAATTTTCGGGATGGCTGAATCGATTGTGATGAAACTTTACCAACAGGTATGGAGCAATGCCAGGAGGGATCTAGGTTATATTTTACTTGAAAAATTTGAAGATTTTTTAGAGATACCTCTCTCGTTTTTGTTACATACATAACTACGTATGTGGCCAATTTGGTCACAAACTTCCTTCTAGGGCGTCTTTTGCTGCCTCTGCACTCACTTCTGCAGCATAAATTTGCTTTTTTACTCTTTCTTCATTCACCATTTCTACATGACCAAACCACCAAAATATTTCTTTCCTAATCCTAGTCCCAACTTCATCTTGCAAACCAAAATTTTTTTCTTATCACACAATTTCTCACCCTATTATTCAGAATCAGTCCTAACATAACTCTTAAAAGCCGCATTTTTACAGCATTAACTTTACTTTCAAAGTACTTTTGCCACACTTAACTTTCAGTACCGTATATTAAGGTAGGTACTAACACAGAATTTTTAATTGACATACACGCCTTTTGTGACACATTTTGGCTTCCCACAACGGATGAAATTCAAAATATTAAACATTCCTGTTTTTTCATCTTTGTAATAATTTTCCTAAATCCTAATACTTTGTTATACTCATAAAATCAATGGGTGGAAAAGGTACGAAAATCACGATAGAAGTAATGAACGAAATTCTGCTTACATTTTACAAAACACGAGCAAGACTCAATTGAATTTACTTCAAACGTTCAATTTTCCTAAATTTATATCAAGTACAGTACTTATCAATTTCATAAAATTCTATTTTATATGAAACTTCAGTCGATGCCGTGATTTAAGTTATTTTTTCAGTTTTGTGTGAGCCTCTACATATGTTACTTAAGACTAGATCCTGTCCAAGCTTTGCCTGGATAGGATCTATCAATGTGGCGTTATTTTACTTTTAGATAATCAAAGGCCATTTATTTTATCACTTTGGCGTTTGATTTACGATTCATATTATTAGTTTTAGCAATTTTAGGTGCGATATAGGCTCTATCTTATCTGAAAAACCCGGAGTATTTTTTATTGTGAAATCGAAAAACTAAAACAAATTAAATGACGCCATATTATAGACTGAGCGGATCGCTAGTCTTCAATAAATTTACAAATCTGATTCATCACAAACCATAGCAATGAAACTAATTAAGCCAATGTGTACCTAATATAGGAGCTCAGGTGCGTCAAATAAAACTATTTTCCCGGGGCCTGAGATAAAGTTTAATAAGTAAGCAGGTGTACAGCTTGATTGACCAAGTTTAGAAAATAATTTCTAGTATTGTTTGAAATTTAAGAAAACAATTGTTCTTTAGAATACTGGCATGGAAAGCGACAGACGGAAATGGATACAATAATAAATGTACGTAAGAATGCATGGTCGATAATTATCCCTGAGAATTTGTTTATGACTTCCGAGTTATTTCTTAAATAAATTTTGTTATTAATAGAAACAGAAACAGAATTTCGGTTTTTCAATATAGTTTATAATTTATTTTTATTCAAAATAAATTATTTATGGTGCGGGCGTGCGTGTGTATGTATGTAAACATCTCATATATTTGTAACGGAGCGTCCGATCGAAAAGCAGTTTGCAGCATCTGAAAGAACCTCGCATAACAGCATGAGAAAACCTCAAAAATTCGAGTTTTTCTAATTTTCAAACAATATTTTATTTTTAAAATTACTTCTATACACTTGTTTTGATCAATTGTATTATCTATATTGCTGCAAACCGCATCGAAATTGTAGTCAAAAGAAATGTCGCAAAAGTGTTTGTTTTTCAGGATAGATTTGTTATACATTTCGGACTCGAAGAGTATTCTATCTTTTACGACGCTTTTGACAGGTGAAATTTGAAGCGCTTTACATTTGAAATTAGCGGTAAGTTCCAGAGATTGTTTCAGGATGAGTTTTAATTTACCTCTTTCCTGGGAATAACCAGCATGAAACGTTATTTTTTAAATCACAGCTTACAATCATGTATGTTACACAATTAACAACACAAAACAAATTAGAAGAAGCTTGGTAGCGATTAAATTTCCCAGGGTTATTATCATCCCTAAATTCCTTAATATTATAAGAATCCCTTTTATACAAACTTAGTTTTAGTAAGGTTTTTGAACTTTGTGCGGATCTAATTTTGTATATTTTCTGGAATTTTTTGTAAAAGCGTTATCATCGCCCCAAGAATGAATTAGTGAGTCGGAGGAGTCGATTAATTGGAACTACTAGTATACAGCCAATTTTATGTATAAGTACGAATTGTCAAACCTATGTTATATTGTAGAATGCTATTGTGAAAAAGTGCCTCTAAGTTTTTTGCAAGTTTTTCTCAAGACCGGAAAATGCAAAAAAAATTCAATAAGAGTTATTTAAAGCATATCTGTAATAAAAATTATTCCATACTTATGAAGCAGTTGATAGGAAGCAACACTACCATCACCATCTAAATAACAACTAAAAATTATACAAAACTGCGGCTACCCCCCACATCCCTGGTGTTGTAACTATAGTAAATATATGTTTCCCTCTGTCGCCTGTTACGACACCCACGTGATGATAGGGGGTATGAGATATTCTCACACCGCCACTACACAGCCCGGGTATCCTGAGAAGTATCGTAATAATATTTCAATTAAAGAATAACACGCTTTCACTTAGACAGATGCGAGGTGCAGCACATTCCACGTCGATAT